CCTCATGGATTTTTCTATTTTGTCTGCTACCTCTACTGGAATGGGAAAAATGGACATAAAAAGCTGGAATACTAGCCAGTACACCCTTAATTAAAGTCAACTTTCCTTGGGCAACTTTCTTTCTTCCTTTTCAAGCACTGGATTCCAAATATACTTGGGAGTTACAACTGGCTCAGGTTTTCTCAGCTCTAGTATGAGAGGTCTTGGTGTTGGAATCTCTATCCAAGTTGTTCCTACTTCCCACTGGACAGTATTCATTATAGGAGCTGTATGTCTCAGTCTTTTTCTCTGGTTTAATAGTTGGATCCATTAGAAGGTTTTAACTGGTCTTGTGAAAAAAAAAGAGGACACAGAAGGGGAACTGGGAAGAACTATGGTCTAGAATAATAATTCGTAGTTTAGTATCTCCCTCACCTATTCCTTAAAAATTAATTTTGTTTTTGTACAGACTACTAACCCCTTCATTTATGGACATTTCTGCTTGTTGGACTGATTATATCAGGATGAGGTTGTTCCTCACTTGGAGCCTGGAATGGTACCATCGACAGTTGATCCAGATGCTGCTGGAGTAGCAGAGAAAGGCAAGATGCCTAAAAAGAATGTGCGGTTTAGTGCTTGGAAGCTTGCCAAGTTGGATTCAAGTGAGGCAGTGAGAGCAGCAGCCAAAGCTAGGGCGTCGTCCTCTGTTCTCCGGCCAGTTGAAAATCGCCGCTTGCCTGATCTTGATCTCAGCTCCAGTGGAAATTTGAGTGGCCGAAGTAGCATGAGTACTGATATGGGGGCAAATAAAGAAATAAAGAGTGACCTTAGGTTATCTCCTTTGAGGAACTCGTATGCTCCAAGTCTTGCTAGCAGGGATGAATATGAAACTGGAACTCAAAGTGCAAGTAGCTTCAGCAGTCCGAGCCATGTTCATGAATCAGTCACGTTGAGTCCTCTCCCACTAGACCACTCTTCAGGTCCTCCTAATGCTACAAATGCAGTGCCCCAATTTGTAACTGAGCGGCCCTTCACTGCTACTCGTACTAGTAGAGCAGTTTTGCCCAATACTCTCAACAACCCAGTATTCCAATCTTCTTCCTCGGGATTTGATGACAAGATTATGCAGAAGGGTAACAGTACCGATCCCCTGCTACTATCAGCTCCAACTACTTCTCTTCTTCGAGATAGTAAAAGAACATCTGTCATTTGGGACCAAGAAGCTGGAAGGTATGTCTCAGTCCCTGTGTCAGCTAGAACTGCTGAATCTGCATTAGATGCCCGAATTAGATATTCAGCACAAGTTGGAGTAGCACACAGTCATGCAGAGACAATCAACTATTTTAGAAAGCCTACTATTCCGCCATCCGAATCTTCTGCAGCAAAGGCTGCATTTCAGCAGTCGGAGAAGCTGATGTACACGGGGGATTCTATCTTCTTTGGTGGCCCTCTTTTGAGTGTCCCGGTCAAGGATACTACAAGAAGCGAGGCCAATACAAGTTTGAGATCAGATCAGGAGAATGTCTTATCTAGGGAGGCTAGAGCAGGTAGAGTCGTTGCTCCAAATCAGTTCCCTGTGTTCATCCCAGGGGGTTCTGAGAGGGACCCACCATTCAAGTCAAGATAAATTGGGACATGAAGCTTGTGACAAGAGATGCCTTAGAGTTGAGAGTATATGCCAATTGTTACATGATCATTTGCCCAATTTCTGGGGATGACGAAAACACGTGGATGCACCATCCAGGGAACTTCTAACCCATGGAGCTCTTTAACTTTATATTTGCATTCTTGAACTGAGGCTTTGATGGATGGCATAGACCAAGAGGGCGACTTTCAGCCTCTTTTCAAGGTTGGGTTCTGTTTTTTTCTTTAACACGCTGAAGTCATGGTAGTCTTTGCATGCATTTGCTTTTGTTGTAAACCAGATGGTGATCAGAGACTTGTGCAATTTTGTGCATTCTGGAATCAATTCTTTGTGAGCTCTCTATTAAACCCTGTTGTTTCTGAGTTGCGCTGTTGTTCATGTGGATCTCAGTAACACGAGAGGGCAAATGAGAGAAAGAACAGGATTCAGGACTTCAACTGGTAGTCTCGTGTAAATTATTTTATTGAGTTTCAGTAATTTGGTCTGTTAACTGTTGAAGTTGTGGTTGATACTGTTCAAGCTACTGGCCTGAACCCAAGGACAAAAAGCAACTGCCCAGGGGCACATGCAAAAAGCTTTTAAAAAGAACCCAGCATTATTTAATTCCAGGTTTGTATGTACCAACATTCCAGTAAGGTGAATTATTAAAATTTGATTCCATTTCCTGAAGGGCAGTCATTTTGTCTCTTGTCCCATCCTGAAGGACATGAGTCTGGTCTTATTTGCCTAAAAAGATAAAGGACATGAGACTGGTGGAGCCATCTCCACCAAACAGTTCGATTCCTTTTGCTATCACTAATTCAGTCCTGTTTTGCCATGATGCTCTTCTCCAGGTGGGTCCTTTAAATAAGTGTTTTGGAGTATAAAATCCCGGTTGCAGTAGGGTTTGCATTTATTGCATTAACAATATAGAAAGCCCTTCTTCTGAAGAGTGGTGGGTCAGTTAGGTCTCTTTCCAGGTGAAATTTTCTAATCAGGCCACATGGTGAGATAATCTGGTTGGTTCTTGTTTTCATCGGAGGCGGGACCCTCTGGAGTTGGAAACCAGAAACACCCAAACCCAATCCGGTGAGCAGGGTCTTGGGAGGCCTTTCATATGTTGGAACTCTCCAAGTTGAAACCATAGACTCAAGCCTCACTAGGATCGAGGAATCGGAAAACCAGCAGTGTTCTTTAACATGGATTGATTTTCATTTTTTCAGCTTGTTTCCACGAGACCATGACCATGAGTTGGGAGTTGGACCCGTAGAGTGAAATCGGTTGACTGGTTTCAAACACATAAAAAAAGTTGATTCAGAAACTTGGGGAATGATCCATTTTTAGAATTTGAATGTTTTTAACCCAGAAATAACATTTTAGAGAATGGGTTTTTAGTGATTCTGAATAATATTAATCTCAGAAGTCACTGGGGTTGAATCGCGCGTGTTGTTAAACACCATCGGAATTTATAGAGGAAACAAATAAATCTACTTTTTCTTTCAATTTTTACCTCTGCTCAATTAATTTTATAATTTTAGTGTTGCTTTTTGAAAGAAATTGTCAAGTTTCAAATAACCAATTAACAAGCAATATCTGAATTCAAATTTGATTAAATATTTAAGTAGTCCATTAGGTTGATTAATTAAGCCATATGAATAGGATATCTAGTTTTACTGATTATGATATTTCCCAATTCAGGTGCTGTTCGGTAGTGTGTTTATCTCCTGGATGGACCATTTTGGTCCATGCCACGGGGTGAACTCATCGTTCTGTTGGTCGTGGACGGGATTGGTTCATAATATATCGTGGATCGTTCCTGTCCAAAGCCCAAAATCTTGGTCACATTTATATCTCGTGGATGTGGCCAGTTCACAATATTTTCATATTGTATTTTGATATAGTACATCTCTTTTACATACTTTTCTTTCTTCTTAATTTTTAAATTTTAATATAATATTTTTTTAATATTTTATCAATAAAATAATATTTTTAATGTTAATTATAGCACAAGCCTCATGGTGTTCCTTTTTCACTCTTTTTATAATTTATTTAAATATTATTATTTTAAAGTTTTTATCAATAAAATAATATTTTTAAATATTTAAATTATTTTTTTATTATTTTACTATCATTTTATTAAAATTAATATTTATTGATTAATATTAATTTATCAATGCTTTTTTTTTCAATATAGTTATCATATAAAATGCAAAAAATAGACATTTATGATCGACTGTGTAGATCATTCATAAAATGTTTGAGATACATGGAATCAAAATGTGTGGTACCACACCTACAAAACGCCATTGAGTGTGGATTGGTCCAATTCACATAGTCTATCCATAGTTCAGAATAGCTATGGACTGTGGTGTGGTGTGGATTGGTCTCTGCCACAGGGTGTGGTGTAGACCAGTCCACATCCACCAATTTTTCATCCACACTACAGAACACCCACTCAGTTTGCTCAAACCCGACCTAGATCCGGACTTAGGCCCAAACCCAATCATATGCATCAACTTCGGGTTTTGATATGGCACTAGTAATGAGTAATGACCCAACCAACCAAATAATTGGTTTTAATTGTAGAGGGGTCAATGGCATCCAAAAATCCTATTCCGAATTCAATATTCAATATGTATTCGATCTGTTCGTTTGAAAGGGCTTTCATGCTGTAGTTTCTGACATTGCAAGCATAAAGAAACCCAGAGAGAAGTCATGCCTCGTTTGGTAAAAATCTAGAAAGCCAAGAAACGGCTTGCATGAGCTGAAAAAATCAACTTTAAGAATTAGTTTTTTGTTCAGTGAAAAAACATTTTTTATTTTGGGAAAATTTCTTAAACTACCCTTATGGTTTAGCTAATTGACTAAGTATACCCCTACTGTTTGACTATTGTCTAACGCCACCCCTACTGTTTAAAAAATTTATCATTGCTGTTAAATATTGACGGAAGGGCTGAAATCTCAATTTTACCTTTCTATTAAATCCCTATAAAAACAGTTCTCTTTCCTCTATCTCTCTCATTCTCTCTCTCTTCACCTCTGCACAACGAAGTCACCGTTGCCACCACTGCATCCCTTCTTCCCCTTCTCTCTCTCTCTCTCTCCCTCTCCATCTCTCTCCCAACACACTTTGTTTTGTAACCTGTCCAAATCCCGCCCAAGAGGATTGAAGGTTGCAGAAACAGAAATGGAGAGGTCTAAGGAAGGGAGGCTCTTGAAGAAGAGCCAACACTGCCTGGATATGCTTGGTGGGAGATGGTGGTGGAAAATGTTTCTTAAAGAACCTCCTTGGCATAGAATTAGAGCTTGGTGCCAGAGATTTCTTAGAGAGCAAATAATGAGTAGGACTTGGACTGTAAAAAGGAAAAAAAAAAAGGAGATTCTTCCTACTTTTGCCTCTGCTTTCTTCTACTACCGTTGTTGTTGGTGGCAATGCTTGTTGCTTTCTACTTTCTGCAAATGGAGCTTTGCTTGCTACTTCTACCTTTGCTTTATCATTTCCCCATTAACAAAATTCTCAAAAGGCTTAGGGTTTTCCTACATTTGCTCATCTTCTCTGTTGGCACAAAGATCAAGTCTTGGGGATGGTTTCGAAGTGCAAAGCCCCATTTCCCCTACTTAAATTCTAATCTAACACATCTCTCCCCAAATCAAACTAGTTCAATCAAGGACCTCTCTCTCTCTGCTACTCTCAACTTTTTTCTCTTAGAGAGAGAGAGAGAGAGGAGTAAAATGAACGATGAGGAAGAGATACAAGATTAAGATCATGGAGAAGAGAAGTGATCTTTTCTAGGGCTTGTTGAGATAAAGAAAAGGAAAGAGGGCTGAGAGAATATCTCAGTGGGAGAGGATTTTTTCTAGCTTGGACATGGTCTTCATGATTCCTCCGTTGCTGTCGATCTCTCCAGTGGCTCCATCTGCTGTGCTTGTTGTGATAGCTGCTGTTGTTCTTCTATCCTACACAAATAGATGAAGGGAAGAGAGGTCGGAGGAGGGTGTCTTGTTTTAGAAAGAGAAGAAGGAGAAAAGGAAGAAAGAGAATGAAAGAGGGAGAGAGGTTGGAGGAGGAGGGGGTTCTTGGACCTGCTAGTCGAGAGGAAGGGGATGAGGGTAATATTGGGTTTTAAAAATATTTAAAATGTCATGTAGTGTCACGTGTGTACGAGTTTTGATGAAATATTGACGGATACTAACGATAAGGGTAGAGCTAGTCAATTATCAAAAACAGTAGGGATAGCATTAGACAATAATCAAACAGTAGGGGTATACTTAGTCAATTAACTAAACCATAAGGGTAGTTTAAGAAATTTGCCATTTTATTTTTTTTTTCATTTGTTTTGGGATACTAAACTACACTTGATTTTTAAAAGAATAGGATCAGCACCAATGTAATATCTTAAAAGCTTTGTTTGTTTGACTTGTAATTAAGGATATGAGCTATTTTTTTGCAAGGTTCAAAATATTGGTATTGTGTATCGTTTCGGTAAGCTTAAAAATTCTCACAAATACATTAATAACACTAAATCTAACATTGAAATATATATGAATAAAATATAACCACATAAGGAATGCCCTAAAAAGTGACACTAGTAACAAAAATAATTCCATTGACACATAGTCCATACTAGTCTGTATCAACCTGTATGGGTCCATATCAACTGATACAAGTTAGTTAGGGCATGATATCCATATCAACCGATACAAGTTAGTTAGGGCATGATATGGATGACACCCACTAGCAGGTGTGAAATGAATGGGCACCAAACCCATTTCTCTAGTGCCATGTTGTGAAGAAGTAAATTAATATTATATTTCCACTATGATATGAACAAGATATGATATCCTGAAAAACTTCTAACCAATCAACTGGAATCATAAATCTGGTAGCGAATCAAGTGTTATTTATCAAAATTCATAGGTGGGTTTTGATGGTCAAAATTCTTTTCATACCGAATCTTTTTCTGGATCATTGATTTTCCCATTATATAATCAAATTTAACTTTTGTAACTTGCACCAAAATTAAGGCAAAGTATCGGCTGGATACAGAAACCATGTCTTATGTGGGAATTAAATTATACACGTTTTAACTAGAATTATAGAAACCATAAGGAGTGCCTTGTAATCGCTCCTGCCCTATAACACAGGCTTTGGAGACACGGGAAAGAACTGTCATGAAGGAAAACTGCTTTTTTTTGGTGGGAGAAAGAAAGTAGGAGGAAGTTTAGGAATTAGAAGCAAGTTAGGAGAGAGGTTGCTTGGATTTACCTCAATAAGACTATCCTAAAATTTTAAGGCTATATCTTGGGGGCCTTTTTTGGGTAAAACTAATCAAGCCTCTCCTAGGTTTTTTCACAAATACTTAAACTTCAGCTGTACCTTGACCTATGCACAAACCTCCTTTGACATAGAAAATTTATGATGTCCAAAATGTATGATATCGGAAAGGTTTTGACCAATCAAAGAACCTCATGAATTTTGCTGATTGGTTACCACTTTTATGATACCGGTTTTTAGTTGT